TATAAAAAAAAAATATGTGAAAAAATCTTAGGCAAAAAATCTTAATCGACGTGTTTTTGCGTTTTGTCCGCATATTTTATCCGAAGGCTCTAGCGAACAGTGGCGACGCGTGACTTGTAGTCTGGGGGGGGGGGGGTAATGAGAAGATGCGACCACCCGCTAACGCGCCGCAGGCCAAATTTTTTTGCAAATTTGAAGGTCATTCACTTTTCCAGAACAATTATTTCCTTTGTGAAGAAAATGAAGCGTCGGGGAGGGTAATTACCCCCATTACCCCCCCCCCCCCCCCGACGCGACGCCACTGCTAGCGAATTAGATCCAGTTAAAGTCCCCACCCTGTATATGTTTGTTAAACATCCAAATAGTGTATTTTAAAGAATATTTTTCACCAGAAATCTGGAAATCTCAATTGAAAAATTACAACTTAAAATTGTACTGACTATTTCACTAGAGTGTATTACACCGGCAATAAATTCGGTATTCAGCTGATAATATTGCTTCCTGAACAATACCAACAACATGGTATTTCAGCGACCATTTTTTGACATTTTGATTCTTTTAACATTCTGATATTTTTAATTTGAAGTTTTCATTCATATTTTTGCATTCTATTTATTTTCAAAATCTAACGTGAAATAGTCATGATGAATACCACTCGAGAAAAAATTGTGTAGGCAAAATTGTTCTCAAAAGTTTTATTCAACTTTTTTGCTTTTCGGCAATTTCGCTCATGACATTTTTGATAAAATCACTCGCCTGACGGCTCGTGTCATTCGCGAAATTGCCAAGCAACAAACTTTCATACCTTTCGAAAATTTTGCCGACAAATTTTTTTCTCTTGTGATATTATACAGTGTCATTACTTAAGTGTGCAACATATGGGATTTTTTTTTAGTAATAGCACAATCAAAATACAAACAAGGCCAAAAGTTGGTGCATATCTAATAATCATATTAGGTGCACTTAGAATGGTTGCAAGTCAAACAGCATACAGGGTAGCTCAAAAAATATCAAAATTGTAATAATATTTACTTAAATAAAATAAAACTTTTGCACTTCAAGGAGAGTTTTTTTAATATGGCTATTATCATTAGTAATGTTTTAACTTGTTGAAAAAAAAATTGTGTCATTTTAAAGGTGTGTTGAATATCATTGCAACAAACATGAATTTTGTGATTCCATAAAAAATTAAAAATCTAAGTTAATTTTACAAATATGCTTGAATTTGAACAAAGTTTTGCAAAATTGATTTGATTTTAATTAATTTTTCAAAGTATTAAGGGCGGAAATAAAAAATAAAAAAAATATAGAAATTATAGATTTTCGAAAAAAATTAAAAAAATCTTAGGAGGCTATGTTTTGGTACTTAGGCATAACTTTTCATTCCAAACAACTTTTCTCTATAACATGTTGCTGAATTTTCTAAAATAAGGGTGCTTTACAGTACAGCTTTGATATTGTTTGAGCTACCCTGTATGCTGTTTGACTTGCAACCATTCTAAGTGCACCGAATATGATTATCAGACATGCACCAACTTTTGGCCTTGTTTGTATTTGGGTTGTGCTATTACTAAAAAAAATCCCCATATGTTGCACACTTAAAAAATATATGTATATGAAAATATTGTTGCAACCGAGCTATAATGGATTTTTTCTCCCAAATAAATAGGCAGTATAGCCCGGTCACCTAAAGAGTTTTTTATTTAATTAGGAAAAGGCAGATTAACCCAAACTAACCCTTATTAACCCGTCGGTATAGTACTAGCTAGTCCGCATAAGTAAAATACTGTTTATTTGTAACCGACCTATACTGCACTTTTTCCCCTAGATAAATACCTATGCAGTATAGAATAAATTTTTGCTTACCTTTTTTGACAGAATGTTGATAGAAATATCACATTTCATAATAAATAGAACTCTTTATTGTTGGCTTTACTCTTAATATGCTCCTAATTATTCGGGAAATAATCTAGCCGTATACCACTCGACCTATAAATTTGAATGGATTAAACTATCAAAATATTTTTTGCATGATTTTGCTTCTTGGCAAATAGTTTCATGCACCAAATCAAAACACCAGTTACTGTGCGATTATTGCGTAATTTCAATCTGATTGGTTCAAATCAACAATCAAAGCATGTCAGTTTATAGTTGGAATGTCAGTTTTGACAGATGTATGAAATTCTCCACAGATTAACCCGTCCTAAAGATAGGAAACTTCCATGTAAAATGTTCGTTCAGAGCTGTCTAAAAAATAACACGTATGAGAGTTTCATGACTGCCAAAGCTATGCGGCGCTAGTATAGCAAAGCCACAAGCAAATGTCATCTGTGAATGAATGTAGGTAATTTGTCATCACAATTTGTCATTATATTTTCCATTAGTCAGCCGTTTGATGTGTGTTAGTGTTCTTTATTTGATTTCCTATCAATTTTTGGTAAAACTTTAACTTCTTAATACCTATGTTTTTAAGAAAAGAGACCTTATGTTACATGTAAGCATTGTGGAAATGGTTTTAGTAATGGTATTTATTTGTAATTTTTGACATTCACTTAAGGAGTCATTTGTGCACAAGACCTATTTAGTGTTTTTTTTTTTTCAATACGGTTTTCTGTTGTTGTGTTGAAGGCTGTTCTGTTAAAGAAGGAGATAGTACTGAAATGTTGTTTTATTTTCAAAAAATATAGGGTTTATTTTTAATAAAATAATAAAATCAAATTGATTAGACAAATTATTTGAAAAAAGGCGGGAACCACGTGACTACTGCCACAATACTGGACACACCGATGTGCACACTAGCGCCACCATGCTGTGGCAGTCATACAACTCGCTGCATGAGTAAGACAAGGACAGGGAAAAAGGCCTGAGTTTCCTATCTTTAGGACGGGTTAATCTGTGAAATTCTCATTGAAAATATTCCCTATGTTAAGTACCTATGTAGATATCCAAATTTGTTAGAATTAGAAAATAAAATAGGTTTGAAATTAATGATTTCTTGCTCCCTTATTTCTTTATCCAAGAGAATTTAGGTATGTATCTTAGAAAGAAGTTTAATAGTATGGACAAATTGAATGTGAATTATTACTTCATATTTTCACTACCCTTCTGATTGCCCAATAAATACTTTTGTTTGGACCACAAATTATATAGTCTTTATTTCTATTAATAAATCAGTCATTATGATTTATTTGCATGCCTAGGTAATCCGGAAAATACTCACTAAACTCGTTGTGAATGAAATTTCACAATCGACTATAAGTGCAAACACATTCTAGAAATAAACGCTGAAAGTATAATATTGATAAAGGTACGATAATTGTATACCTAGCAAAAGCTTGGAAGTAAAAAGGTTCCTTTTAGCAAAGAATATTTAGATGTGTATGTAAAATCAAAACCAATACCGCCAATAAGGCGAAATTTCTTCAGGAGGTGTAACAAAGATATTTTACATATTATATTGAAAAAAAAATAGGTCATACACCTCGTTTAAAATTTATTAAATTATCATTAACAATAGATGGATACTCGATAGGGATTAGAGAATTTTAAACGAAATCAAGCACCTGTGACAAGTGGTTACGAATATTATACTTAAGTACCTACCTATGACAATAATAATTTAGTCTTTGATTCCAAAAATACGTTTGCTTTTGCTTCCTATGTTTAGTAATCTTTGATAATAAGGAATATTTCAACTATCTAAGATAAACGAAAATCTAAAAATAATATCTAATTTCATAGTGATGAATCATACATGATGCTGTATATTTATTTACCTACCTAGGATACAATTTGCATACTATTTTTCCAATAAATGCGTGGAAAAAAGTGGTTGAATGGTTCAGAAATTTAACTGAAGCTTCTCAAAAATAAGAGCAAAGGGATCCCCCTCTCCCACTGAACATTTTTGAATGAAAGATCTCCCATAATTTTGCTCCCATTTTGCCCATAATTTTTTCTTCTCTACAGTGGAGGTACCTACTATGTGGCCTATTAAGTGAGGGTGGCTAAATTAAAAAAAATTTAAATGCTCAATTTAGTCTAGTCTGGCTCCATTTCGCTGTATGGCGGCGAGTTTTACTCTATGGTCGGCGAGTTATGCTCTTTTTCCTGGAATGACCCACACAGCTCCAAAAAATATCTCTTAGCCCCACTCCAGTAATTTTTTCAAAAAATCTCTTCCTCGGGGTGGAGGACTTTGAACATTTTCATTTTGCTCTCCAAGTTTTGCTCCATTTTACTCCATGACTGGCGAGTTTTGCTTCATCACCTGGAATGACCTCTAGGAGAAATTTTTTGGACTTCTCTAGGCCATTCCAGGCAATGAAGCAAACCGAGCAAAACTAGAAAAATAAAATGAGCATGTGAAAATTTGAAATTTTTAGTGGGGAGGGAAGCGTTAATTTAGCTACCACCACTAAAGACTTAATAGGCTACATAGTCTCTCCACTGTAGTGTAGCAGAAAATATAATTAATGAAGCAAAACGGGAGCAAAGCTATGGGATATGTCTCATTTTAAAAATTTTCATGGGGGGCTAACTTAACTGACCCAGAGTAGAAATAATTCTTGAAGAAAAATAAAGTGCTGTTTGTGTTAGTGGCATTATTAAAATTACATAATGGAAAAATCGCTTAACATACTGTCAAATTAGAAAGTATGTAAGTATGTACAAACCTATGAAAAATGAAGAAATCTTCGAAAAATTGTTAAGTATGTAGGTAGTTGGAATGTCTAGAGATGAAAACCCCAAAAATTATTTTAAAGTTTTAGGAATCTCAGAATCTTCCGCTGAAAATCTAAGAAGAAAATAGATTTACAAAAATTTGAATATTTTGAAAAATGTCTATATAATAAGCTGCTGGAAAAAAATTGCAACAAGGCTATGCATAATAACCCATATCAAAAATTAAATAATATCAACTGAAAATATCCCTTGGTTAAAATATCTTCGAATAGAGCTTAATAAATTCTAAATGTCAGTCAGCAACAAATTCTTACCTTAATCGTTTAGCTTCATCAATGAATGGTCTTTTTTCTCCTTCGCTAAGGAGTTTCCACTCGGCCCCTAACCTCTTTGATATCTCAGAATTGTGCATCTTGGGATTCTCCTGAGCCATCTTCCTCCTCTGACCTCTAGACCATACCATAAAAGCATTCATCGGCCTCTTAATGTGTTCTTGGTTGTTTTGAAGAATGTTCGTTGGTTTCGGAGAAGACATTTTTATTATTTTCTATTCACCACAAAATTGATCACTAGTGAATTTTCTTTTAGCACCTTAGTCAGTTGTTATAAAGAATTGCACGAAAAAAATCAAGTAAATTTTTATCACTTCCCAAACGTTATCTCGTTTAGTTGATAATGTAAACTGAAGTTCAAAAACATTCTGGCGTCCCGTTGAAGTCCACTTTGTGGAAGCCCCGAATATTCTGTGGTGGGGGCCGTACAACACCAGAGGGGTGCAATGTTACATTGGGGGCGGAGTAAACGTGCGCTGGAAATTATTTTGGATTTATTAGGCGCCCCCTAAAGTGGTGGTTTTACATAATGTTGTGTTTTGTAGTTGGACACGATTTGACGGTGAATTACTGCGGTTTGACCTTTGTTGAGACTGAGAGGGGATTTTCTTTTTCTGAGATTTGGCGCGCGAGATTGCTGGAACGGAATGGTGGGGAGTAAAATGTACACTAAGTATCTAGTAACTCTAGTGGTTTGTAGAAAGAATAATTATTATTTATCAGGTATTTCAATTTTGAAAGGTTTACAATTGTAGAAAACTTTGGGTGGCTTAGGAAATGATATGAAATTTTATTCAATCAGTTTGAGATACATACCTATATGTGATTTTAAAACTGATTCAAATACTTCGCTCATCATCATCATTTGGTAAAGTCAAAAGTATAGATGCTGTGACATTATTTAATTTACAAATTTTCAATCTGAAAAAAGTTTCTTGTACACATTTCCGAAAATCCTAGAAATATCAGCGTTCTAGAAACATCATGTGGAACTTGCCAGGTTTCTTGAGAACGCATTTTTTTTTAACCAGAAACCAGACAATAAATATTGTTTCAGAAAGTTATATCCAATATTTGGAAAACGTAGGAAAGAGTAGAGAGACTGAAAATTCCCAAGGATAATTTTTCGCAATGGAAGAAAATAATTAGAAAAATTGATATGGGACCTATGGGAGGGCATTCGATATAGCAGCAGAGCTTTCTGAGTAATTCCACTGCTGATCATAGAACTTTTGATTTTATCGGGTTCTTCAAGAATTTAACAAAAATAACGTGAATAGTAATGAATTACTTGGAGCTTTACTCGAATGGAAGGTAACTTATTTGATTTTCATCATGACAAAAGGTCATTTAATTTTCATCATGGCAAAAGGTCACTTTGCTATTAAGTATCAAATTTGGTTCTCACAATTATACTATAGGTACGAATACTCCCAAATGAAGGAAATACTAGAAATCATTAGTAACTTCTGCAGTATAAACTTCTATGTATTGAAGTAAATAGAGCAAAAGCAAAGTATAAAGTAATTGCTTCTAGTACTTACTTTACGAATTATGTGGAGTAAATGCTATAATTTTTTGAAATGAAAACTACAAAATAGAGCATTTACTTGAAGTAAAAGCAAATACTCTTTTCAATCATACCGCCCAATGTTTCACCTGGAACTGTTAGACTGGAGAGAATAATAGGAGTCATTAAATGTTGAAACTCCTTCCAATAGTAGAGGGTAAATGCTGATAAAATTCCTGGAAAAGGAAAGACTTTATATCATTAATACGACCAAAAATAAAATCGACTACCTCCCAAGACAAAAACATCATAGAAGACGCAAATATAACTATATAATCGAATCACATACGAGTAATTCACCTTGGTGGTGAGTCTTGGTATCCTAATTAACATTAAGCTAGAAAGATCTGGAAGACAAAAGCTAGGAACAGCCAAAAGGATGTGAATACGTTGAAGGAAAACAGTCAATATATTGTCAACTGGTCTATAGATAAAAAACACTTTTAATATCGAAAACCCACTAAAACTAGAACACGGTTCATCAAAAATCAGCAGTTTGAAGCAGGTCAACGTGTCAACTAATGTTTACACGAAATGGATATAAAAACCGATGCAACCAGTGGTATCGGCATCTATTCGGGTCTGTCTCTTCTCAGGGTCTCCTTACCCCAGGAAGCAGTAGTATTCCTTCTGGTTCACATCTCTTTTCTGAGGGTCTCCTTACCCAAGAGAGCAGAAGCTACATTTCTCTTCACGGTCGCTTTACCCCAGAGAGTCTTGGAGCAATTTCCTTTCCTTCACAGCTTCGCCGCCTCTACGTGTGGGGACCGTTGCACCTCGTAGATGTAGAGCCCCCAACATGAGAACCATGTGGCGCATCTGCGTAGTACCGACCCACTAGCAGACAATATACATTAAGCTCCTTTTTGTAGTTGTGTGTATTCCTGAAGAGAAACCACTAATCTCAAGTCAAACACTCACTAGCCGCAAGGCCCTTGTGACAATACCCATCCAACAAGCAAAAAAAAAAAAAACAAAACAAATGAAATACACAAGTCATCAGCAGCCATTAAGCTTTGTACCGTCAAGATTCTGCGCAAAATTAAAAATATGTGCGTAGAATCCGAATTTTGTATACAGAGTACAGAGTGGTTTCGAAATCGTTCTTGGGACAGTTTTTGACGTGTTGGCACAGACCTGATATACATACAGGGTGTTCATTTTGAAACTTACCACCCCTATTATCTCGGAGTTGAAAAATTTTGGAAAAATCCCTGAAACACGTCAACTATAATTTGAAGGGTGATGAGTTTCTATGTAAAATTCACCTCCCCCTCTCAACCCCCTAGCCACAAGATCCACCCCTAGAAAATCTCAAATGGGAAATAGTCATCGTTTTGGAGGGCTTTTAATTCCATACATTTTGGTACTAAATTTTAATCCCTAAGTTCACCTGTTTTGGAAATATTGACAGTTGAAAATTGACTTTTTTGCTACTTTGACAGGCTGTAAAACCTAAACGGATAATTTTAGAGGAAAACCAATCTTACATTTTCAATTTAACCGGAGATTGAGTTTTTAACCGGAATTTTTGATCATCGATCAGCCTGACAAAATAGCAAAAAAGTCAATTTTCAACTGTCAGTATTTCCAAAACAGTTGAACTTAAAAATTTAGTACCAGAATGTATGGAATTAAAAGCCCTCCAAAATGATGTATAGAATTTTTAATACCTATTTAGAAGTACCAGTCGTTCTAGTGACTTAACGTATGTCGCTTCTTGAACACACAAATACAATTAGGTTAGGAATTTCCTATTTGTACATGAAATTGACGTATTAGCAATCGACGTTCTTTTTCCCTAGTAATTTTTTAATTCATCCGATTCGTGATTGATAAATAAGGATAGGGTTATTCTAAATGGGTATTAAAAATACTATATTACTTGACCCTCCTTCCCATTCAAGATTTTCTAGGGGGTGGCTCTGAGAGCTAGGGGGTTGAGAAGAGGGAGGTGAATTTTGCATAAAAACTCATCCACCTTCAAATTATAGTTGACCTGTTCCAGGGATTTTTCCAAAAATTTTCAACTACGAGATAATAGGGGTGGTAAGTTTTAAAATGAACACTGTATAATAATACATCTACTATTAGAAAAAATAAGGGACCTTATAAATCCTGAGATAGGGACTGTTTAGTGCAGTCATTTTTTTTTATCTAGCATTTAGAGGGGTGAATGTGGCTAGTTAGCTGATGAGAATATAAGTGGTTTTAATGCCTGCCGCGAGTTCGAAATGTCCACAGAACTTTTTGCGGATTTGCTTGATTTCGAACAGTGATTACCGTCTGGCGATTTTTCAGCGTTATTTTCAAAACAAAACTTTTCATTCTTTCGATTGCCAGACAGAAAGAAAATGCGGAAACTGCTATACTTTTCTCTTGCAAGTTGACACCCAGCCCCACTTTTTCAGCCATTGGAAACCATCTGGCATTTTTTATGAATGAATTATTCATCAATGTCAATCTTTTATTCAAGAGCTAGACAATATGAGATCATTAAAGAAAAATGCATCATGTTTAAATAAACTTTTCTCATCTCCAAATTTTCGAACGGACGGCAGGCATTGAAATCACCCGTATTCTCATCAGCTAACTAGTCACATTCAGCCCTCAAAATGTCCGACAAAAAAAAAATGACTCCACTAAACAGTCCCTATCTCAGAGTCTATTATTGTAAGAGAAAAAAACAAATATCTAGCTATATACAGGGTGTTCCACGACCTTTTTCCCAGGTAATAACTTCGTAACGCGTCATCCAATATAATTGAAATTTTGAGGATCTGGGTAACTTTTTGTGCCGCTTCTACCATTGTCATCCAAATTCACCACTTTTGCTTCAATTTCGGGCAAGTGACGTCAACTTTCGAATCTCAAATGTAACTCATGGTATATTCCATTTTTCGTTAGGAAATTAAATTACAAAATCGGGAATGTCATATTTGTTAAGGCTTTGTTAAAGAAAATGATAAAAAATTATATAGTGAAACATACGATGATGCCTTCCGAAGTTATCATTTGGGAAAAACCTCGTGGGACACCATGTATAAAACACAAAAAATGTTTCTACGTATGTATGCCCGTTATAGGCTTTGAAACCATCCCACCGCTGTGCCCCAAACCAAGTTAATATGAAAGGCAATAATGAGAAGAAGGTTTTAGACCACTAATGACAGGTGTCAACTGTCAAATGTGACAGGTGCAGATTTTTGAACCATTTCTTCGCAACGGATTTTGCTGAAATTTTGCATACACTTTAAGTTTAGGTGATAATACATTTTAGACACCTAATGACAGGTGTCAACTGTTAAATGTGATAGGTGCAGATTTCTGAACCATTTCTTCTTTCAACTTTAAGTTCAGGTGATAATACATTTTAGGCCACTAATGACAGGTGTCAACTGTCAAATGTGACAGGTGCAGATTTTTGAATCATTTCTTCGCAACGGATTTTGCTGAAATTTTGCATACACTTCAAGTTTGGGTGATAATACAATTTGGAATACTCTATCTGAGCTGTCAAATGTAATTTTCAAAATATGACAAAAGGGCGTCATATGCCTGCCCGGTGTTCAGAAACGGATAGCTTAGACGTTGAAAAAAATTGACAGGTGTCAAATGTCAAATGTGACAGATGGAGAGGTGGGCAGGTTGTCAGGACTGTCCTCGTCTTAAAAAATTTGCTTTTTCAACAAATAAACAAAATTTACTTATTTTTTTTTTGCGTGGTAGCATACGCAGGGTATTCGCTAGATATAGAGAGTTGATATTGAAAAAAAAAAAACTGG